TCAGGATTAGCAGCGCCGCCCAAAGAGGACCACAAATTAGCAGTTGCTCCTTTGCTTCCTCCTTTGATTTATTATATACCAGATCTCAAAGACTTAACAGTCAAATTAAACGGGTCTGAAAGACTGAACGGGTCGAACCGAACGTTCAAGATTCAAGACTCAAACGGGAACTCTGAAACATGATGATTTTTTAACGATCAAATTTCTCGAATGAATAATGAAATGGACTTGTGTGCAGTTCCTCCTGTCTTGTTTAAGTGTAATATAGTGGAATTAGTCGTGAATATAAGAAGGGACTGCCAGAGTTTTTGACTTCTCAATCGCTGATATTCGCCTTTTCAAGTGGGAATGGAATGACTTGCGCAGCGTTGAACTTTTGTCTGATGTCAACACGAGTCCAACAGAGGAGGGCTAGAAAGATAATATCATCTAGTGTAAACCTGCCAATCAGTTCTGACGTTGAAAGGAGAGCAAAGATGATCTGGAGAGTAAGCTATTCACGAACACGTCTTGAAAATAGCTCAAAAATGTCATTCTATTACTTCGGAAACAGAACTTCCCACAACGAACACGAAGATAAGAACTTGCCTTAATACTCGAGTTCAATTTCTGTAAGGATCTTCCACTCTATGAAGTACAAGATGATGATTGTTTAAATTACGTGGTAGGCGTTCCACTCCCTCACACTCATTCAATGACGATCGATCTACCAAAACACATTCTGGGGGACAATAAACCAAGCTTCAAGATGAAAACACAAGGCCTTAAATCTTCTACGAATTTCCTCTCGATACTGCAAGAAAGGTAAGTCGACCGAAAATACATAAAAAAAAGCGGTGTGATCATAATACAGATGTCAATTTTTGATGTCACTTGTTTATTATTTGGATGTGAACATTGCTGTCATACGAAGTATCAAATACACGCAGTGTGATCCGTGATCCGATCCGATTGATGAACTCAACTGGAGGACTTGGCTTCGGGCATTCTGAGGCATGTTCCCACCCAAAAGAAGACTATGCGTCCTGATTTATCGATGCAGACTTGCGGGGCGGTAATTCGAGTTATGGCTTCTTCTTCCATAGCCTCCCTCCCTGCCCGCCTTCAAATCTAATCTCGCTTGCCGACATTTCTCGTTGCTTATCTGCAAGCTATTCATTCCTATGTCATGCTCTAGCCTCATGCATGAAGACAAAATGAAAAGCGATGAAACAAAGTCTGAAATTTTTTTCGGTTTAATTTTTTTCGGACCTGCTAACCGGTCGAGAGAAATCTGGGACTTGTTAACCGTCGGTCCAGACCGGACCGTGACCAAGCCTACTTTTATTTTGTCTTGTACAAAAGTCTAGATTCCAAGAGAAAAGACTTTTGACTTCATGTTTAGTTTTGATTGGTTTGACTAAGTAAGAAGTACTTTATTGGTTAGACTATGTATAATGTTGACTTAGTGGCAAGTGGAGGTTCTTAAAGCTACAAATGCACAAATGGCATGTCGCCACCTCAATCTAGGGATTACTAAACATCTAGAAGGTTTAGGCTTGTTGCCACATATTGATAACTATTCAACCTTACTATGGTTTATCATTGTAAAAGTAAGTTAGATAGGAATTACCATTTGTTATTATGGTAATTTCTCAAGTAGTATATATAGAGAGGGGTATGGAAAAACCTCTCAAGCAAGTTTAGAGAGTTCATATGTAGAGACTTGTTTCATACATGAAAGAGTGAGGATTTTCAATACCTTGTAGTGTTGATGAGTGTGTGAGTTGGAATGATACATTAAGAGATTGTGTGAGAGGCTGTTTGGGCTATGAGTATGAGGAGGAATCCTAGTCTTCTAGAACCATGATGAGCTACCGAAAAGCCATCTGAGGTAAACCTGAGTGAGAGTCAGGCCGGAGGTTATAGTACGTCTTGAACACGCGTTTAACATCGCTAGCAATGAACTCGTGGTCGTGTTCTTGCTAGTCCGTAAGCACTGCCTTCATGTACAAACAGGAATCGGAAGAGACGGTCATATAGTTAATTAATGTGTCAATTTTTATGCTCAACCACCGGTCGGTGGTGAAGCATGTCAAAGAACCCTTCATTCGAGCGTCGACCTTTGCCTTCAGATCTTCGTGGCAACTTGTCGAGAAGGGAGGTCGTCAGCTGCTTTTGAGTTGGCAGCAACCCATCATCGGGGCGAAGTATTTTCACCGGCTCCACTAAATGTTTATCTCCTACACTCCGGAAAGAGGTGCCAGTTGCAAAATAGTGCATCGCCATCAACTTCTGAAACTCTTGTTTCTCAGAGTAAGAGATCTTCGGGAGCACATACAATTTCATTGATCTTTGAACGTTGCTGCTGACGGCCTGGCTCATATTTGGCAAATCTGCACGCTCTATATAGACCGGCATTTTGTTGCGGACAAACTAATCAAGACAATCTGCATCTTCCAGTCCATTCATGAACGTGCGAAACTTCCGACACTTGTTGAGGTGCTTCTTGGCGGCTTCGTTCTTCTTGTGATGATTCATAAGGTTGCCACAGTGTTTGCATCTAACACTCTTGGCATTCTGCAGATCATCATCATTTGTGAATTAGGTTCGTGCTTGTAGGGCAACAGCATTTGCACTCCTCCGTTTCATCCAATTCTACTGTAAGGAGTTGCATAGCAGCATCAATTGCGTCGTCGTCAATCAAAGATTCTGCGAAAACAAAGACCACAAAGTCACTCTTAGTTTGTGGGCTGGTGGCGAGTCGAACTAACATGCACATCCAAATTCAACAAATTCGACAATCGAGCAATCAAATTCAATGCATGCGGCGACGGATTGCATCGCGCACTTGATCGACAGAAGGGAGAGCTGCAGCTAGAGATTCGGTAGCATGCACGCAACCAGCACAAGAAACTCGATTGCGTCGGGCACCTAATCAACAGAAGGGAGAGCTGCAGTTGTGTATTAGGCAGCAAGCTCGCAGCCAGCACCAGAAACTCGACAGTCCAGTACTTCAATTTCGGCTCGACTCGCCAACATTGAGAGTGAATAATCACCCATGATCCGCGCTAGATCCTATTTAGCGATGCAGCGAATTGAAGGATACAACCGGCGATATAACAATGTCGCCATAGTAGAACCGACCTCACTAAACCTCATTTATGTGATCTCAGAATCATCGGGTTAAACACTTAAACCGAATTAAATCCCACCTGATTTCACCGCGCCGTGCCATCCTTGGTTCTCAGTCATTTATCAAGTGATCTATCTAAGTTGCCAATTATCAAACTCACCAACAACCAGTCTTCTCTATACATGGAAACTTCCGTAGTTACCTAATATTAGAAAATAAGGATAGTCATCAATGTGAAATACGGAATATATGAAGTTCATATTTTTTTTCCGATAACTTCTGAATTTGACGGCAGCGCAACGTTCCTTTAAAAGATATTGGTGTTATTTTTTATCTATGAAGATATATTACCATTTCATCATTGAAAAGTGGCTTTAGACTAATACTGGTGTTATTTTTATCTATAAAGATATATTCCCATTTCGTCATTGGAAAGTGTCTTTAGACTAATACTCCAAAGTTGAGTATCAAGATATGCAAAGCCTGGAAGAGTTGTTTAGGTTGAAACTGAATTTTTTGAGCTCTAACTTTGCATGGACACATTGCAGTGGGTATTGCATTTAATGCAATACATACGAGTTCAGGAATACAACTATTTACCAAAATATATTGCAGAACCCATTGTAGCCTAAACATCTATTCAAGAGTGTTAAAATAACCTTAAACTGCATGGCAGATCTAAACATCGACAATTTATTAACAAATAGGATAAGTTTGGTTCTAAATTTTATTTATTTATTTATATTTATATTTCTTGAAGTACAGAACCTCACTGCAGCGAAACATATCGAAGCTATGACGAACACCCGTATTTAAAGAGGCCTGTCTGTAATTGAAGTTTTATTTTCAGCTATTAGATTTAACCATGGTTACGTTAGTTATTATTCATTCCTAACTTCAGTATTGAACATACTAGTTCGCCAGTTCTACATGTATACATAATGCTTTAAAAGTAGTGTGACTTAGAACTCCTATTGGTGGTTGTAAACTTTTGGTATATGTAATTATGTCCGGTGTGCTCTTCACCAATGCTTGGAAAGTTCTCATTTGTCGCCCCGTGTTGCTGTTCATGATCATGACACACTACGTCATGTCGATGAGGTTCACGGGTAGACGCAACAAACTACTGTAAAATTTTTCTGCCTCGGATGACCGCATGCAAGCTTGGTACGAGCTAACATTCGATCCACTACAGGACATGCAAGAGAGAGAGCTCTTGGCATTCAGCAGAAGCAAGCAACACATCCCGAAAGGATGAAATGTTAAAATTTTCAAATTGATCACTTTCGACAGATCCTACGGCCTGTGATTCAAGAGCCGTATAGCCATTACATTTCCACTAAAATAATGACATAAACGACCACGAGAGTGCACAGAACGAATAGTTCACAACAAGAGGCAGATACGCACGTGAACGAAAGAAGATACGGCAGTAAAGAACGGGAGAAAAGACGGCTACGCAAGGGAAGAAACACGCTACAGAAGACCGTAGACAATCGTCAATTCTTTACGACAGTCCAGTTGCTTCAGATATTCGTTTACCGTCATGAGCTTACGCGCACACGCTGGCCTGCAGCCGACTGCGAGCATTCGCACACAAACGTGAGTTACGTAAGTGAAAGTATCTAGCTGAAGTCGACCTTTCCTCCACAGCAGCATAGAAGAATAAACGACAACGCGTTGATCCAGGATGTTGAGACATTTCGCTAAAAGTTAAACCCTGATCCGACAGCACATTCCCACGCCAAAAAGACAATACTTCTTTCCATCCTCCTGCTCGCAGGTATAGAAATGATATCATGTACTCTCTCGGACCGTATCCAACGCACTTAAAAACGTACATGACAAAATTTTATCAGATTCCATCATTTCAACAAATCGGATGAATATATGTGGTTGTCTTCGAAGTTTGATATTAACAGGGGGATACCCAAACGGAGGGCTGTGAATCCCCAAGAGTGACACGACAAAAATACTCAGTACGATTCAGAAGCATAGAGCACAATTCAAGTACATGGCATGAAATAACTGAAAGCTGCGAGGCACACTGCATATCGTCAGCTATCAGGAACTGACAGTCTAAAACCTAAATCCTTTCGTAACACGCTATCTAAAAGTGCATATACTTGTGGAGGCTCTTTTAAGTGTGGAGCTTATTTCCACGGATAACCTCTTCTGCCACAAAACTTGAATTCTAATCCCGCAAATAGTAGACTGTAAATGAATTTCGCAGTCAACGACAACCTCCAGGCTGTGGACATCTATACGGTGACAGGATTATCACCTGTGAGCAGACAGTACGACGTCCACAGGTAGGGTTGATAAAGATCTGTGTTGAATACAAATGACTCTTACTTGTGGGGAAAGCTAACGAGTTGGGAGTGTACAATCAGTGGCTTGAGCTATGATACACCATTCGCGTACATTTTGTTAAACCTGCGAAATCCCTCGAAAATACCGATTAAAATTCTAGGGCCAAGGCTCGATGGCGGTGCATGTCACTTGAGTAGTTATCACTGCTATAATTATCACCAAACCGACTTGAATCTCCCCCACATTCGCTAGATTTCCGAGCTAGAAAGTCCACGGCGTCAGGCAAGTCCGCTTCAAGCTCTCCATCGACCAACAAACTGAGAACCTGGCTCATACACGGACGCCACACAGATGACTGTCTTACACACAAAGTAGCAGCAAGTACAACTCGGTGCAATTCTTCTGAATCAAAAGCACCCGCAAGTCTCGGGTCCACAAGCTCCTGGACATTCTCCGCATCCAGCAATGGCCTCGCCTGCAAGAAGCAAAACCATCTCGATTGGCCACAAAGATCTATAAAGCTCACCATTTGAAAATGACATTTGAGATACGATTCACGTCTAGAGTAATGTAAGTGAGAACTAAAAACGGCGTAATGATGAAAAAGTGACACTCGCAGTTATGTATATATAATAACGACACGCAACAAATCACTAGGTCGAAGGCACGGTACTGAGAGAACATACCCACATAACAAGGCTCTGTTGAGCAGCGTTGATTGATCGCCGACCCGTAATCAGTTCCAATAACAAAACTCCATACGCGAAAACGTCCGTCTTTTCGTCCACATACCCATGCATGAAGTATTCCGGTGCCAGATAACTGCAAATGAAGTGAGCACCGTCATTTCACATGAAGGCTCCAGACAACGAGAAGAGCCATCCTTCTCACTCTTAGGTCCAAGAAAATGATCTGCCTGCGGCTTCAACGAGAGAAACAAGAAGCGAAACAACAATCTGACGAAATCCTTGGATTACTAGAACCTCCACTAGCAAGCTTCCAAACATCATAAGACAGCCCCAATTGGTGGCTCAAGTGATCAGGTCCTAAGTCTTCGAGTCTTGCAGAGGACCACGCAGGACGAAAGCCAATCATAAACTCACCCAAAGGTGCCTTCAACAGGTGTAACAGTATGATGGGTCCACAATTCGGGAAGCCACTTTGCTAATCCGAAATCAGAAATCTGCAAGAAAACACATTCGAGATTCAGCTTCCTCAAAGATAGAACCATGTTTGCTCCTACGAAAAAAGACCTGTAGACGGCCAACACTCAGCACGGCAAAGATGTGGAATACCTGAGGTTCGAAGTCCTCCCCAAGAAGGATATTTGAAGCCTTAATGTCCCTGTGAATGATTCGTCTAGGACATTGCCTGTGAAGGTAATGCAAACCTCTCGCCACACCTACAGCTATCTTGAACCTGACAGCCCAATCCAGCACTTGGGGTTGTACACCTGAGATCCGACGCCATAACAACGGTTTAGCAGATGAGAATCTTACAGGCGGACCGCGAAAAACAGCTCAGATCATACTCCGAATCACTAGAGAATGTGCATAATAGCATCAGACCATTGTGTCAAGTATGAATCTCACCGTAAAGAAAAGCTGCAAGACTTCCATGGTGATAAAAGTGGAACACTAGGTGCAGTCCACCCTCGATGCAGAAACCAATTATCTCCGTCGTATTAGGATGACTGACATGAGATACAATTCCGAGTTCAGTCAAGAAGAAAGTCTCCTTCTCCTCCTCGGTGTCACCTTTAATCAGTTTCTTTACAGCTATCGTACTTCCATCAGAAAGGCTTCCTCTGTACACCTCCGCGTAACCACCCTTCCCCACGATATTGCCTGCACAACATACGCTGACAGTCCATAAGAACACAAGACAAAGACATCCCCTTAAGAGCGACAAATCTAGGCAATTACAAGTGAGGTGCACAGAAGTAAGATGAAGATCTTTGAAACTCGCAAACAGGAAAAAACACAGAAAAATGTGCGACATACCTGGATTGAAGTTATCTGTGGCAATCGCTAGCTCCTCAAAAGTGAAAAACTTCCAATGAGGCTTGTCACTCAAGGCTGAACACAGCAAGGCACCAGCTTGGTCTCTGTCCATGCTGGGGCTCGGACTCAACGGGGTAGGGCCATTACAGAGCTTGAGCACGCTTGTTGCCAAAAAATTCGAAGGGCTTCTTTTAGGAGCTTTTTGATTGGTGGATGGAAACGTATGCCATCTTCTCATAGACATATTCTTCCAAAGTGTCAGGCATGGCTTCTGCTGCCTCTCTGATACAGAGTGCCGAGCTTCTTCGCTGCTGGAGGACAGAGGGGAAAGAAGTGACTTCCTGGCATTGGATGGTGACCAGCTGCCAGGGTTATAACTACCTGAGGGTGAACTTGTGCAAGAATCAGCAAAAGATCCAGGCCCATCTAAAACATTCCTCGGTGACAACATTTCTGCGTGGTGCTCTTCGCATCCACTGATTGGGCTCGCCCTATCGACGGAGTCTCGCCCGAGTTCGAACATCGTACACTTGACCTCCTTGGAGTGGACCTTGGAAGAACTAAACGACTCTCGACCAGATTCTATTAGGGAACATTTCGAGGGTGACGCATCTTTGAATAGTCTGGAAGTGCTGAATGAATCCCTGGCGGGATCAAAGTACGAAGCTTTCACGGGCGACGTTTGCTTAGATGACTGTCTGGAGGAATGTTTTGGAGCCGGTCCAAAAAACGGAGCTTCCAATCCTTTGTATCTCGACTTCGCGAGTAACTCCTGCATATCTGTAGGCAGAAAATTGGTGTCAGATCGGCGTCAATCACGACATTCCAGAATTTCCTGCAACTGTAAACCAAAGCCTCCTCCACTTTACTAGGTTCAAAACATGCCGGCCCTCGTCTCCTTAACACAAAAATTCAAACACACCGGGCACAGAGACGGACTCGGTTTTGAGTCTTACCTTCGGTCAGCAGAGCAACACTGCCATCGTACGATAACTTTTGGCGATGTTCCTTATACAGCAAAATTTTCTTATTGCTCACAACGACAACCGAACAGCCAGGAGCTGCGTGCCTTGAGCAGTAGCTTGCTGTGCCCTGTATCCGCCTGTGCCGAATTGACCAGAGTTAATTTTTCTTCAGACAAAACTACGACTCGATGATCCCACAATCTAATGCCTGAGAGCAGGAAAACAGACATACTACCACGAAACCGCCCCCGCCGCCCATTTTCATTTCCTCGTGACAAAACACTTCGCGACATCGATTGACAAACGAAAGCACCCCACGAACATGCGTCGAACCTAGAGTGCGGATTCATGTCACTATGCCGAAGGCTAACTTTTCCTTCCGATAGCTCGGCCCACGAGCCGCGCATGGAAGCACGTAAAACGACTCCGGAGAGAGCTTCGAGAGAGCATCCTTACCAAGGGGCGACACGTCGACCAGATGTGCTGAGAACGAGAAGAGTTGCGCCCAGTGCGGCGGCCTCTTCAACGAGAACTTTGTCCAACGTCTCTCCACATACAACCCTCACCTGCGTCGTGAGCTGCAGAATCAGAGGAACGTTAGTAAGACGAGCTTCGATTTCGAGAGTAGTGCTCTAATTCAATGACGACTTCACTGTCAGCAGTCCGTGGGTATGGTACATTTCGGCATCTTGAGGGCATGAACGCGGCGCAGTGTACATTTTGAAACATGTCGTGGAGACAGCCAACAACGAAAACAAACCACCGTGGAACTCGAGGGCAAGATTCTCACCTCTTTCTCCGTACACAACTCTTTGAGCGGATCCAGAAGTGAAGTCAACCCGAACGCGACGCTTGACTTGTACTTCTCAAGTCCCCCATCTTGTAACTCTGGAGAAAAGTGACATGAGAGAACCCGTCAGAGGCATACGGAAGGATAAGTGGTCAGTCCGACTGGCAGAGCAGCTGTGCCTCGCGCGAGAGCATTGACAACGTGGAAAACGAAGGGCTGGAGTTCAGGATTAAGCCCGACACGCGACAATGTCGAAAACTTTGTCAGTGTTCAAACGTGGAGGGGTCTAAGACAAGATGCTCTCCAGAAAAACACTGTGGAAGCACGTCCCTCTCTGGCTTCAGTGATCATCGCAACATAGGCTCGGACACGTACCTTTCGCGATTATGGCACTGTGGTCGATGACATGAAGTGCAATGATATGATCACCACTTTGCGCGGCCGTATTGCACGCCCAAGCCAAAAGGTCTTGACTTTCCTGTCCCAAGCTTACACCTACTACAATGGTCTCCGGAGATTGCATCCTGCGCTCCTCACTTGCACACGACGCTCACATGCAGCGGAGCTAGACGTGTTGCTCGTTTATATCCGCTACACCACATTTGACAAACGACGCTGCTCCTCGACCTCCTCGCCTATCCAAGCCTCTGGTTTCAACAGCCGTGTACCTCGAACAAATTCCTCCTCCCCACTGTTCAAAGATCAAAGTAAATCAGCGGAATCAGGTGGCGGGACTCAACACTTGGGCAATGCCGACCTCTCTACGCCACGCCCCACACTACATCCAGTCCAATACCGTTCGTCGACTTACTGTCGTCCCCGAATGACCCCTTAACACTCTACTATTCACGGTACAGATCCCCTTCGCACGCAGAAAAATTGCGTATTTGCAGACAAAACGATCTCCTGCAGCTCAATTCCGAGCTCGCTCGACGTCGTCTCGTCAAGCTATCAAGTGCTCGAGCAACCCCGGGACACGAGACAGCTTGATGGACAACACCGAAGCAAACCCGAGCACAGACTCCGGTTTCCGCATAAAATACTCCTCCTAACCAGCACACTCCTGCCGAGAATCCTCCTGCTTGTCACACTACAGAGCCAGCCGACGAAACTACAGGAGACGACCTATATTTGCTCTGCAGCTTTGTGTTCTCTTGTGAGGAGGTGCGGCCCCTGAGCGCACGAATAGCGGGAGCTCATGTCGGGTGACGATGTTTTCGCGCGCAGCAAAGACGTGCACGGCAAGAACCACAACAGTGCAGGTATGCAAATGCAATGTCGCGACAGCCCAATGACCACTATGGCCTAGATGCAATGTGTCCACACACGAACGCACGCGAGCTCGTTAGCAACTACGACAAGCTTCAACATCGATCCCCGGACACAACATTCATCCGAGCGCAGCCTCAGACTTCGGTTCGCCTCTCGACATCTGCTCGGGGCGGGGGCGGGACCAGACGGCTCCGAGGACCGCTCTGGCCAACAGGGAGCCGCGCAACGGATGTGAGATCCGCGCCCGCGCGCGCGTGCGCTGTCAAGGCCAGATCAGCCTCGCTATTCAAGGATGGCTGACGGCAGAGCCAGAGGCGCTTCAAAGTGCGTACCGGGCGATCGAAAGGGAAAGCGGGAGGACGCTTCGTCACCAACCTCGCGAGTGTCAGCCGCTCTAGGCATGAATCGCAGCAGCTGCCCCGTTCAGCTCCGCCACCGTCGAAGGACCTTCCCTGTGACCGCGCCGCTCCGTCCTGCGAACCTGTTCAGTTGCGAGTGGCAGCAGCTCACCGCTCGCTCTTCGTTCGACGATTCGCAATGCGAATGAACGAGCAGACGATGGATTGTCCGCGCGATATGCTATTTTTCGCAACACACCACCACGACGCTCCTTCCACTTCTTCGTCCTTCGTCCGACGAAGGGTCTCCCGCTCGCTCTCGCTCTCGACCTCCCTCCGCGCGCCGTGCGACTCTTGTCTTGTCTACTGCACACAACTCGGATCCTCGTTCCGCTGCGAGAGCCGCGGCTGGTGTCTTCTTTCCCGGCGCCCCGTCTTTTCCTTCCGCCTCCGCTCGTCGCCTGCGGTCTGCTGCTGCAGCAGCTCCTCGTCACCGGACCTCGGCGGTCTGACGGTCTAACAGACTGACCGACCGACTGGGACCGGGGCTGGGTCTGAGATCCAGGGCGAGAGTGTCTGAGAGAGCTAGCCGCCTCTGCTGCTGCTGCTGCGGCTCCACTTGAGACTCGACCTGACTGTCTCTACTCTGGTCAGGTCTACTCTACTCTAGTCATCAGCGGCAGCGTCATCATCAGCGGCTGCTTCTCCTTCCAAGTAGGGGCGCAACATTACGGGCCTCCGCCCTCCCATCCCTACCTCGCATGCCACCGGGACCCGCAGCCCCTGACACTACCAAATAAAAACCGCTACTGTCCCGCGAGCAATAAATGGCCTCAATTTCCAGCTCCGCAATTCCTGCTGCCCGATTTCCTGTTGCAGGCCGCGCCTCCAGTTCCCATTGCCCGCCCTACCCTCGCTGGCGGCCCGCCCGTCTTCTTGGGAGGGACCCCGTACGCAGTTCGGGAAATTCGGCAGCCAACCGGTGACCGGGGACAGGGCGGTCTCTGTACGCCTCGAGGGCAGGCCCGCTGCCTGATATGCTGCCGAGCGCAGAAGTCACAAGCTCATGCACATCGAGCGAATCGAATCATGAGCTCCGGCGTCATTTAATGGCGATATCTGGCACTCGGACCCCTCGTAGGAGATTGACATATTTCTCCGCCACTCGGCGAAACTCCTGGACTTCTCGCCCTGGCTCACGACTTGCGCGCCATATCCGTCGTCACGACACACGGCGGCCGACACGTATCCTCGCGACATGCCACGTCCGACTCGCGCATCCCTTTTCTCACCTCGGTGAAATCTCCCCGAGTGCACGTGCTTCGAATGGATGGACGTCGCACGTAAAATCCGACGCCCGCTTCCCGAACAGTATTTTCCTTCGGTGTCGAAGATTTTCACCCTCCCCGCCCCCGCCCTCCGGCATTTACATCTAGTGGCCGACACATCACTCGCCACGTCACGCCTTTCCGTCCTTACGAGCCCTCGTTTTTAGGTTAACAAATTCTGTATTTTTTTAATCCGGGTCATTATTTTTCAAATTCGGATTAGATTCTCACCTTATGTCTGCAGCCAAGTACCGCAAAACGGCTATGTTTCTCGGATCACCCGGGGCCTTGAGAGTTACCACGTCATAGCCCTGTGTACGTAGTCAGGGACGCCGAACGGACAGCAAATCTCACCACAATCACCGACACCGAAAACGGCCATGCATGCACGTGGTAAAAGGCCTCTTGCTTTCTCGACGTTACCCCTTTTTCCCGTCTCCTTTTACCTCCTGGCTTTCCACGGGAGATGACCATCTACAGCTCCACCTGGAACGTCGTTAATCTCCGGTACGCTTACGCGTCACAACCAGTCCTTGCGAAGAGGAACGTCCTCGACCTTGAGCCCAAGTACGCTGGCAGTACCCCGGGTTTTTTGCTTAAAGAACCCAAAAGAAGGGAATACCCCATCGAGAGAAATAGAACGCGTGCTATGGGGCAATACGTTCATATCATCGCGATGGAGTATTTATTCGTTTGTTTATTTGTTTATTTGCTTACTGCTTGAAATAAACCTGAGCTATCTAAGTCAAACAACATAGCGATTACTCTCTTATGGATATGTATGCAATCTTCAAAAGAGTATGAGTAGATACAAAATATTACCCATAACTTGTGGGTAATATTTTATGGGCCATTAGCCTTTGAGACGGATGGCAGCTACTAATCAGTTAGGACATGACGTTAGTCGACGGTATGCCTCTGAGCCAATGTATTACATAACTTTACGAGAATAATCTCTTTTATACAGAGCCAGAGGTAGCGCTCCTCGGATTTGATACTTGTCATCTGAGGAAACGAAAGAACTTTTTTTTTCTATATCTGAATTTTTTTAAATTGAACATAAATTATATTTACAACAAACTCAATCTTTTAAATATGTTTCAAAATTTTGTAGAGATTACCATTTGAGTTCGAATCCTTCCTTGTGTTCATTTTATTTCTTCAGTGTTGTATGTTTTTTTATTATCTTATTTAAGATAAGTAAACTTAGTGTAAGTGCTAGGTAGGCATACTAAGTAGTTTGTTATATAATCATAACCGGTTTGCATGCATATTGAAAATTGAAAGTCTTACGTAAAGTTCGCAATGTAAAAGGAACATGGAAAATCTATGTACCCATCAAATAAAACTCTTATTTCGTAGAGTACATTCACAATTGCAGAGCAGCGGAGCCAAATATTTGCTGGGTTCATGTCTTAGAGCTGAGATTCTGATATGTCTGAAACTTATGTACAATAAGCTCAAATATCAAATTAGAACTAAGCTGTCGCTTATCGTCTGAAAGCTAACCATTTTGCACTTCATTTTGTACGTTGTTTTCAGGTACTTTGTTATGACTATTAATCCTTTGACAAGTTATGAAAGAAAAATTTATCATTATTCTACATATGAAAATTACGAGCAATCCCTCATGAATTTTTTTATTTCTTTATGATGAAAATGCATCATAGTTTTCAAAATATTAAATTAATCTTCGCAGTTTTGTAATGAAAACTGCCTAGCCATGTGATGGTGTGATGGCGGCCTGCTGGTTCCAGCTGACTAGAAACAGGTTGTGATATTCGAGAGCATTTTCCATACATTTTATACTGCTGAATTGGAAAATAATATATGCCATGGCACATGGAAACGGTTGTAGTCAGAACGAAAGCAGAATCACGCGGACCGTTGGTGAGCCCGGCCGGTGTGTCTGTCTGTGAGTGTCCGTTCGGAGGTCGTCCGCCGGCGGGCACGACAGTAAACATTGGTGACGTCGGAATTCCCGACGTGGACAGAATGAACTTTATGCTCTACCTGGTAAGTCTCAGTAGCGTGTCAGTGATGACTCCGGAGTCCGACGGAGGTCCGGGAAATATATGTCCGGACAAGCTCCGGGAGGGCCTCCCGACGACATGTGAACGCGGCAGGCGTGAGGCGGTGAGCCAGGTTGCGGCCGGGCCGGGGCGGCTGGTCGAGGTTGTTGTTAGTCGGTCGCGTGAGAAAGATATTACAGATCAATGATTAAAAGATTTGATAAACAAAATGGAAATAATACAAACTTCATTGATGGCGAGGAAAGGGTACCGCAGATTTTGGAGATTTCTGCGACGAGGAAGGGAGAGGATGACGTGGCGGATAGTCCATCCGCCGGATTGCGTCGGAGTTTGTGTAAGACGGAATTCGCCCAAGCGATTGGGGGGAGGGAAGATTCGAGAGAACGTGTTCTAGTGTGCAAACGGGAGCGTGTATTTAAGATCATGTCTTTATGGGAACTCCCAATCAATACATACTCCTGCAACTTGATTAAAAAAAAGTAGGAAAATCGAAGAAAAGCAGTATCAATAACAACTCTACAGTCCTTTGAATAGGAATCTCGAAATTTTCATCATTCTCTCTCATTGCAGTTGTATTCATTTAGTCAACACAGACATTTTTTACTGTTCCATTCTTAACAATTCTTAAGATATAACATTCTTGAAAATTCTCTACTTTCTTCATATAGCTGTCCACTTTTATAGGCAGCCAAGAGTCTACTCTAGAACTACTTCACAGTTGTAATCTTCATACAATGTTTCTTTTCTCTTGCAAATTCGAATCTGATGTACAAGAGTTGCAAGTATATTGGAGATTGAATAATTTTGATCATTTTCTTGACTCTAGATAATTGTTGTCAAATATTTGATATGTCCAATACACATTTATTTATGTAAGACCTCATTCATGATAAGAACTTAAATTTACGAAATTACGAATATTTTTTACTTACAATGAAAATTATTTTGAAAATTATGAAAATAAAATGAATGAATTTGATAGTGAATTTATTTTCATATTGTTCAAATAAAAGTTTAGGAATTCTTCAATTTTTTGTAAATTTTTTGCAGATAAATAAAAAATTGGTCACAAATGTACTTCTAAAAAAATGTTGATCTATTCAAAATTTCAATTGATCTCAAGATGTCATTTGATTTTTTAATAATATGAGCCTATATTGCTGAATTGACAATAAAAATCATAACAAATATATGGTAATACACTAATATAAGTATGTATATCTTTTCAAACGATTTTTTCAATGTGTTACAAAATGATCGAATATTATTGATGTCATCGAAACGCACATTCTCTCTACAATGTATTTTCGAATCATTCAAAAAGAAGATTATCAAAGTTGAGAACATTATTCAATCTTTACTCCATCTCGGCTCTTTTTAGAGCTATTGGATCAAGACAAAATCTGGTCTTATGCTGAGAAATCTGTTCAGAAAGTTATAATTTTACAATCTAGAAATTTTGTTTTATATTCAGTAAGTTATATTGTTGACATGTTGTTAATTACATATTAGAATGATATTTTTTTCTTAAATTTTGAGTCAATCAGGTCCGAAAATAATTAAAAATAAAAATAGAATAATTTTTTGTTCATATTCATGCAAATTAATTATTTTAATAAAATTTCTAACATTCTTTGGAATATAAAAATGATGATGAGGTTCTAATTTTAATGAATATTCAAATTTTACATTTAATTTTGATGATAAATTTATTGCAGATATGATATATGATAATGAAATAAAGTCACTTTTTTATGTGAAATTTTTTAGAATATACTTATCGTAAAAGAATTTCGAATCAAGTTGTAAGTAATTTATTTCAACATTTGAAAAACTAATCGATTTTCTTTTGTCGTCGGCACATTTACAAAAAAACTGATGATCGCGTCACAAAATCATATTTCATTTAATGTAATCTAAAGAAAAAATATAAAGACGTATAAATATCATCATTATGTATTTTTCGGTAATTTCCTTATCAACAAATACTGAGGACGTTACAACGGATTCACATGTTGGACATCTGAGAATGCTTGTCCTCATGATCGTGCCTCTAAAAGACATAAGAGACTAGGAATATCCAGCGGAAAGTTACATACAAACATGTTAGTACATTCATTAAAGCTTCAGTGGTTTCTAAAACTGGATAGACCGTGAGTATTGCAAGGCCATGTACTCATTTACTCCAATCTCTTTTATATACTTGTTGGGCT